AGAACGGCTGGACCGATTTGGCTAATTTTGGTCTTAAATTATTGGTGGAAGTCCAGAGAAGGTTTAAAAGGTAGATAAATATGAAAATGCTCAGAATTAAATAAAAATATCAATTATGTTTTTCCTTTGATGTGTCCACCGTCGGACGGACTCCTTTTGTTTGTTTTATAAGTTTATTTTATACAAAAGCTTAGGTTTTTTATTTATCGATTGAGTCACTACGGAGTCTGCCGGGTCAGCTAGTTTTTTAATAAAAATTTTCACGTTTCACGAGGCCCAACTGCGCACGGATTTTCTTTTATTTAATTGGTACACAGAAACACATTCGAGATAAGAACAATTGAATACCATGAATCACGGAGCACTTATAAAAATCGAATGGAACCTACACAAAAAGATGCCATGCTATTTAAGATGTCTGGAATAATTATGGTCAAAACGTATATGCATGAAAGTTTCCATCATTTTCTACAGAACCGACAGAGGACACCTAATTCTATAATTAAAAATGAAACGCATTAACCCGTTCATTATTACAAAGGTTATATTATATACCTAGGGGGCTCGATAGGCTTTCTTCTTTTATTTTTTATTATACATATTTTGTCTGACCGCAAAAGGTAACAAACACAACTATTATAGATCGGAATGAATGACCTTTGCTTAAAGTTGCATTCCCCGTTAGAATCTGCAAGACACTGTGATCTATCTATTATATTTCCATGATTAAATATAATCCTATATACCTACTCAAGAATTGTTGTGCATTCAAGGAAAGTATTTGTGTCTGATGAATTTTAATTGGCTATCTCTTATAGAATTATCACAACGAGATTATCATTCCGTAATAAAAACACATCATTGAGCGAATTATAAATTTTGTAATTTACGTTGGCCACGTAATAGATCATACCTAAATATAATATATTAGACAATTCCATTTTTATTTTTATTTTAAAACCAACAATTTATATTATTTACATTTTAAGATTGGCGCGCGATGATGTATTTCTCAGAGAAAATATTTATTTTAATTTATTTCGTTTATTTTATTCATTTAGTTTTTTATTTCTTAAATGTGCTCGATAAATTTGTTTTTATTGAGTATTTATTAGATGTTATACGAGAGGGTACTTTAATATTTCCTTTCAGTAGTTATTGAAAGGTTTTATGTTGTACAAAATCGAGACTATTCCCATACAGATTTATTGATGCCTTTACATCGATTAAGTCTTTCAATAAACCAGTAATGGTTGAGTAAATGATTAAAATAGTATTATTATTAAAACCTTTAGTGATCAACAAAGTTAATACATAAATCGGCTAATAAAGTTCAGATACAAGTGTTTATTTTTTTAGTAGATATTCACAGCTCTCTTCCTGAGAACCTATTATTAGTACGACACTCTGTAAGGCGGGTGTGAACTTTAAAGTCAATATACATTTTTTTATTGCTTAGATGGGTGGACGAGCTCATAGCTCATAGCTCATAGTAAACACGCCACCCACCTTGAGATATAAGCTCTAAGGTCTCAAGTATAGTTACAACGGCTGCCCCACCCTTCAAACCGAAACGCATTACTGCTTCACGGCAGAAATAAGCAGGGTAGTGGTACCTACCCGCGCAGACTCACAAGAGGTCCTACCACCAGTAATTATGCAAATTATAATTTTGCGGGTTTGATTTTTATTACACGATGTTATTCCTTCACCGTGGAAGTCAATCGTGAACATTTGTTGAGTACGTATTTCTTTACAAAAATTGGTACCCGCCTGAGATTCGAAAACCGGTGCATCGCTCAACACGTATGCACCGGACGTCCTTTAAGCCACGACGACTTCAAACATAATAATATCATTACGTTGTATGTCTTGCATAAAATTAAAACGTTTATAACTTCCTTTTATTCAAACACTAGCGGCCCGCTCCGGCTTTTTGTAAATAATAATGTGTTCTACAAAGCCATAGTACACTATTGTATTCTATCATCAATATTTATCGCAGCGCACGTGATGTATAGAATATTTTAGGTAATTTTTTTACACCTTTGGTTACATTATTGGAGTTTTAGTAAGGATCCCTAATAAAAAAAAAAAAGAATATAGCCGATGTCACTCGGGGATAGTGTAGCTTCCAAACAGTGAAAGTATTTTTCAAATCGGTTCAGTAGTTTCGGAGCCTATTCAATACAAACAAACAAACAAATCTTTCCTCTTTATAATATTAGTATAGATTGCGTTACCATGACGTGATGGTTATTAAAATATAAAACCTGGCTCAGTGACACTGTAAATAAATTTATTTGATAGGCCCGCGTATTTATTTATTGTGGATTATACTATTTTTGTATTGTGTCTTTTGTTTTGTTTTGTAAAATTACGTTACTAATAACTATGTTTAAGGTCGCATTCAATACTAATCTTGTATGAACCTTGAATACTGACGTTTGAAAAATGACTTACATAAATGTTTGTCTATATCAATTATGAGTTCCTGTCGTCAAACCAAATTCAACAACAAACTCTCGCAAAAGTCCTTGAAAACTCCATGTAGCAACAAGATTTCCATAAAGCTGATTTGCACAGTAATTATAGATTATGTTTCACTCAATGCTAGACTTGATTACTAAATCGATTATCGCGTGCGAGCGTCTGTCTGGTAGAGAGGTTTGATAACAGCTCAAGGCCTTACTCCATGTGTTGATAAAATTATAATTACATATCACGTATACATACATTGATACAATGTAGATTTACTACGAGGAGTATTATCTATTAATTGTAGGAATTACGTCTGTTCGCCGATTTACTGCAGACGTAACTTTTAAACTACTACATATTATGGACGCTGTCAGGAATAATGATGATAATCTGCGTATATGAAGTCTATGTATTCATAGGGAAGGAAAAACAAAACTAATCCTTGTTAGGTTCCGTACAAGGTCACAATTCTAATGTCAATATTCTAAATCCTCGTGGCCTAAAGGATAAGACGCCCGATGCATTCGTATCAAGTGATGCGACTGTGTCCGAGTTCGATTCCCACGGATGGGTAACAATTTTTCTACTAAATACGTACTTAATGCTCACAAATATAATGTTCACGAACTATTTATTATGATTTTCGTAATTAGTGGTGGTAGGGCGTCTTGTGAAAACAGAAAAGTAGACACCACGGTCCTGCCTATTTCTGCCGTGAAACAGTTTCGTTGAAGAGTAAGGCAGCCGTTGTACTATAAAAAAATTAGACTTAGAACTAAGTCTAAAGGTGGGTCGCGGCATTTACGTTGCTAATGTGAATGGCTCGGGTATCCACTAAACACCAGATGGGCTGTGAGCTCGTCCACCCACCTAAGCAAGAGTAAAAAAAAATACTGTTAAATGTCATTACGAGTATATCACATCTGTTAATATTGAAGAAAAATGTTTAGTACAGTCTTGGTAGTACACTACGGCTCCTAGGGGCTAATTTCCAGGTTTTTTTCCTACATAGTCGCTGATAGTCTAGTGGGTTATTCCAGCTATACTCAGACGGGAGTTCCCAAAATGGCTATATTTTTAAGAGCGATAAAATACTGTATGCATTAGTATCGCATTAGCGCCTATCGTTTTTATTTACATTTATATATAATGTATTATTTTAAATGAAATTATGCTTCGATCCTTTATTCTTTTTGTGTAGATCAGAAGATAATGGAACGGTATTATTCCATAGTACACAAGATAAACCTTGCTGATGAGGCCACGTCTTGCCAGGCCTGTCTTGCATGAAAGAGATGAAAACTACTAATCACACAGACCAAGATGTTTGTATGTAGACTATGTAGTTATCTCCAATTGCAGGATGCACGCCGGCGTTTGTTTGGAGATGAGTATAGTTCATCCGAGGATAAGAGGGAAACAAAAGATCCCGAGGATCCAAGTGACGAGCAATTGTTTGCCAAGACTTTAAAATGGACAAATAAATGTGAGCATTAATATAATATAACGTACTAATAAAATTACAGTACAAATCAACATTCATCTAAAGACACCGTTAGTGGTAATTTAGTAAGTAGCACTAAATGTGAGCATGATTGAATCCTATAAATAGCGTCAAAATCTCGGCGTTAAATCGGGTACGTAGGTATCGTTATGAGACAATTCAAGCTCGAGTAAACGGTGAGCACGATGTGTTTATGTACGAATATTCTGTCTGAGCAGCATGCCACAGATTGGTATTGTAGCCAGAACTAAAATAGCGACAGCTTGTGAAATTGTCGCGATGCGCGGTCCGTGAACTCAGCTGACGATTCTGGGCCCTATCGAGCTGCGATCACTCTTAATTTGAATAGAAACAAATACTCAATTATTGGAAAGAATTAATTATAAATCACAATTCGTATAGAAAATTAAAAAGCTAGAACTTGTTTTAGTACATTCCAAATACAGCGCTTGTACTGTTATTAGGATGAAGTAAATGTAATTGACAAACACAATAGGTAGGTATATAAATTTATGTTGAAACACGTTAATACTATTTTATATTATATATATGATACACTAATTAAATACCTTTAACGTATACAAGTAATGTGTATGTACATCATGAACGAATAATTTAATTTATAGCCATTTCCTCGCAATTAACGGAGTCTTTGGTATTATGTCACAACAGTAATAACATTATACAATATACGCCTGCAGTGCCGACGCACTACATTTATGAATCATCAGGAAAAAAAGGTCATTTGTATTCATTACCGAAAAGCTATTGTATTTATGGGGGGTTCCTAATTTTAAAATTTATTAAGTAATCTAGTTTTGTGATGAAATTAATCGCGTCCCTCACATCACAGCATACAAAATTGCGTAATTTCCAAGATTTTAGTAGTTACCTAAATTAAAAAATTAAGGGATTTTATACTACAAAATCCATGTGTTCAAATAGTGACACAGTAGATACCTACTAATAAGGTATGTGAAATTTGAGTGAGTGTTCAATAATTAACAACACGTACCTTTATTTGTAATATACCGTACAGGAAAAATTATTAGATTTATTACATGAGTATCCTCAATAATAGTTTTATGAATAATACAAAAATCTACGCAAGGGGAACGACTTGCAAAACTTTGCGTATTTTTACCGCACTACAGTTGTACTAATTCACATCACTATTCCATTCAGGTTACGTTAGAGGTCACATTGAGGTGTTAAAATTGTCTCTACATTATTCGAACTAAAGGTGGCGTATCATCGCGGACGCTACATGCGCGGGTTACCTAAACGGCAACGATCACTCTGCCGACTGGACTAGATTTGGACGTTCGATTTTGACTCATATTGTACTGTTGACATTGAACAACACTAACTTCAGGCGAAAGCGCACAACCTAAAACGTGCGCGTGGAAAAAGAACATTGTAAAATTTCGAGCTCGCATTTAAATCTTTTAATGAGAAACTCATGAAATCCATCGACGTCATTAACTAATGTTTTATCGTTTTTTTTAAATAATCTAATAAGAAACAAACATTGCTTTCCGTGCTAAATTTGATAGAAAGAATTTTATTCCAGTACACTTCTATTAAATTTGTTTTAAATCTTTTGCTAGAGCGCCACCTGCTGATCAACGATAGAACCATTTTCTTGGGTTTCTAGTTGCTGCCATCTATTGGTATAGTTATAACTCTATTTTATTAAACACCCGTTGAAATTTCTGTTACCTATTCTTTAATGCAGAGATTTTCCACGAGCTTGTGGCGCACCGGATCTTAAGCAAACACTGAAGCCCATGGACATTTGCATAACTGCTATCCACCTTGGTCAAGTCTAATTGTATTGTATCTATCCCACCTTTCAAATCGCAACACCCGCAACACGCTGTTACCTAAACATGCCACAAAGTATTTGTATCTAGATATAAACAGACAGACCGACAGCAGGCATATTTTCTCCTGTTTGTCAACTATATGTTGACCTTGTATACCTTGACCCTTTAATGTTGATATTAAGGTTTAGAAATTTTAGAGCGGTGTGTCCTAACGGTGGGGCCCACGTCCCACAAGGGGGCAATTTGATAATTGAGGGGAGCAATCGCACTAAATTAATATAGAAAATCTGTATTAAAATTATTTTGAATTTGAATTTCAGCTTTTTATTATATGTTTTGAAATATTACTTACTGTGTTCTAATAACAATTTCATAGTGATCTCTTTCTAAACCTATAATTTATGTTTCTTAATTGAACAAATCCATTTTTTAATGTTAAAAATTATGTAATGGGGGGCATAAACATTTTAAAAATGTTACAGTGGGGCATGGCACAAAAAAGTTTGGGAAGCACCGATCTAGAGGGTTGCTCTTTAGAAATAATGAAAATGAACTCAAACATATTGTGTACGTAATCTTCACAAATAAACCATTTGTTTTTTGTCCTTGTGCTTCTTTTTACCATTTAAAAAGCTTCCACCGCATATGATCACGATTAAGCTCTTCTTCTAGGTTATTTTCTCGTTCCGTTTTGTTTAACAAACATCTCGAATTTCCTTGTTATCGAATTTAGTTTAATAATTCTATGGCCAATTTTACTTGCACTGTTGTTTATTATCTTCTGTAAGTCGAATAGTTAGTGGCGACGTATTTTAGTATCAATGTATTTTTTTTGTTTTTATAAGTGACTGCTTGACGCCGCGTCTCGAATTTTAAGCCGTAAGCCGAAATTATGCTTATAACTAAACTACCGGAAGTTTTTTAATAAATAAAAAAGTAGATTTAGATCAAAGTTTTATTACACATAAATGTCAGACCTGCTTAAATTACATATAGAGAGAATTAATTACTTTTCCTTCTTCTCAGATGAGAGGCTGTGGTACAGCTTGGTGATCTCATTAGATACAATGTTTTGAACTACAGTGCCGTTCACGTCGATGAAGTTGGCAAACGACTTGGTCACGGATGCCTCGCGAGTGTTGCCATTCGTGTCTCGCATAACAATTACGAGATTGTATTTATCGTCGTGTCTACAAAATTAAAATAATTACATTAAAGTACAAGTAAAATTTGGATACAACTTTGATAATCGCAGCAGTGATATTAGACAAATATTATTAATTAATTTTATTTGATAGGCGCTAGAAGATAGAAGAAATTCTGCACTTTCACTAATGCGCCTATCAAATAAAATTAATTAATAATAATTGTCTAATGTCACTGCTGCGAAAGCGAGTGAAGAAAGAAAGTTGTCGTGGCCTAACGGATAAATTGAAGTCGTCGTGGCCTAACGGATAAGACGTCCGGTGCATTCGTGTTGAGCGATGCACCGGTGTTCGAATCTCAGGCGGTTACCAATTTTTCTAATAAAATACATACTCAACAAAATGTTCACGATTGATTTCCACGGTGAAGGAATAACATCGTGTAATAAAAATGAAACCCGCAAAATTATAATTTGCGTAATTACTGGTGGTAGGACCTCTTGTGAGTCCGCGCGGTGGGTACCACCACCCTGCCTATTTCTGCCGTGAAGCAGTAATGCGTTTCGGTTTGAAGGGTGGGGCAGCCGTTGTAACTACTTGAGACCTTAGAACTTATATCTCAAGGTGGGTGGCGCATTTACGTCGTGGATGTCTATGGGCTCCAGTAACCACTTAACGCCAGGTGGGCTGTGAGCTCGTCAACCTACCTAAGCAATACAAATTAAAAAAAAGAAGAGTAGTAGAAAAAATTAATAATTCAATTTCACTTTAGACTGAAGGATGTAAAGCAATTTTAATAATAATCTCATTTCATTTACAAATAATCATGCAATCTCTAATTTACTCTTTTATGTAAGCAAGTCCTCTTAAGCCAACCATCTGATAAAATTAAAGGCCTAAATATAACTTTCATAGATTTTTCACAAGTAACAATTCTGCCACAACACAATTCTATCTCAAACCATTATTAGTACTGTATATACATGTTGTATAGATACAGTGGGTATCTTATAATCAGAGCTTACACTAGCTTGCTGCCGGCAGGTTCAAACTTGTAGGCGCAGCTTTCTTTTAAATTTCAGCTAATGTTAGCCATGGGCGACGATAACCACTCACCATCAAGTGGGCCGTATGCATGTCTGCCTAAATTTTTTTTCCTACCTACCCTCTGGTAGCCTATGTGGCCATTCCAGCTTAGCCTGGAAAAAATTACATAAAAACACAGACAAAGGCAGACATCTAATTTATTTAATATTATTAAGAGATCTGGGCAGATTCAACAACTTGGTGTTCAGTGTACGCTGTTATGAAAATTGTCATTGCAATATCTTTAATTCTAGTCCTTTAAACATGAGGTAGAAGTCCCCATTGTTTCTTACATCTTTGTTAATTTAAACATATTGCAAGGTTGATTTCATACAATTTTGTATCAATTCGAGGTATAATTACAAGATCACACTTGCTACTGTACGTAACAAATGTAGGCCATTACTTGCTGGTCATAAATGCGCTTCATTTTAAATTTAAGTCACCTGTAAAATCCAATGATTTTATTACAATATAGGATATACTCAAGTAGTAGGAAGTAGACTTACTTCTTTACATAAGAACTGGCTTCCCAGACCCTGGTGTTATTTCCAACCTTCTCCTTGGCTACCACAAAGATGCCCTTCTCTTTGAATGTAGTGTAGAGGGTCAAAATACCCATCAGTATGAAATATGATGACACGCAGATGATTAGAACCAGTCTGTAAATAGTGGTAATTTTTTTATAAACTTATTTAGATATTCACTGTCTACAGACTCTACTCTGGACCGATACAGTTAGCAGAACTAAAAGAGTACAATGTGAATGCAGCTGTTGTTGCAATATGAAGTAGATGTTTTAACTATTGAGAGTAGTATTGATTATCTAGACCTTCACACCAGACTTAGGGAAGGCAATGAGGCACTTATACTAATACGGTGTATAAATGGAGCATAGCAGTTCCAGTTATTAACACATAAAATTCTCATAACTCTTATATTATATAAGTTACTAATGAGTTCCATAAGATTTATCAATTTAGTGTAGACAAATTCTATGATTAACCATTGGCATTTCAAAGGAAATAAAATTAAAATTCAACTATACAATAACAGTCAAATACATTGGTGGTTTTTTTACCTTGATTGAGGGAATGGATAAAGATAATCCCATAGCAGTGCGTAAAGGGCCACACCAACAGCCAGAGCACAGAGGAACAGTCTACCGTCAATTAGAGCAAAGCTTTCCTTGCATTTTAAGTCTCCAGTCATTACCTAAAAATTTTTTTTAATAGACTAAATTAATTTCTACACACAAACACAAACTATACTGAGACACTGAGACCTTAGAACTTTTAATCTCAAGGTGGGTGGCGCATTTACGTTGTAGATGTCTATGGGCTCCAGTAACCACTTAACACCAGGTGGGCTGTGAGCTCGCCACCCATAAGCAATAAAAAAAATATTGTTACAATGCTTAGTTTTATATTCAAATGAACATTATGTTTTTTTTTCTCTCCCATTTCTTGGCCTGCACGGTTTGTGCGTCAGCCATGAACATTATGTTACTAAATGTTCAATGGACAAAATTTAAATAAACAAAACTATGTATTACCTCTCTAATAGCATCATCAACAGCATTTTTTGCTGCAGCACCATCCCATTTGTTGATCTTTGCAGCCTGAAATTATAGTTTTTTCTGTAAATTTCCAAGTTATAGTCGTCTTAAATCTCACTTTTTTGACACGGGTGTTCCAAACTACCCCTTCTCGAAGGGGTAAACCATGAATATGGGTATCATAACAGTACATAGTAGTATCAGTACATCAGTAGAGTAATAAGATTTTAGTAACTTTAAAGCCAGTCATTTTCTAGTAAAATAAGTAGAATAAAATTAAAAGTAAATAGATTTTAAAGTGACGTGTCCTAACACCACGCACAGTTGGCAAGAAAACTAAAGGTGCCGAGATCTTTAAAGTAAACGTTAAAATACCTCCGCCGTTTCAGACATGTTGTATATATTAAAATAACTTATTTAGCGTTGTTTTATAAATTTTAAGTTCAGATTTCAGTTAATTTTTCCAGGACAAACTTAATTTTAATTTTCGATACTTTTGACAGATACTTGGCAGCTAAGAGTGTATTATCTATGTTAAATGCTTAGTAGCATAGACCATTTTGTTTGATTCTTCATTGAAACCGCAAAGGGAACGTTATTCATACAATATATTTTTAAATACAAATACCCAAGTCACGTATTTTGTCCGTAAGTGATTTAGAATTAAAAGAGGAGAGATAGACAATAATGCAGGTATTGGACGTGATTAAATAAAACGTTGAGAATTTACTAAGGGGTTCAGTGGGCATATTAGAACACCCCAAAAAGCCACATCCAGCGATTTGATTTAATTGTTTCGCATTTATGCACAACATACTCAACGGTTAATAAAATTAATAAATCACCGTTATTGCAAATTACTAACATAAATCATCACCAATTTCAATTTGGATTATTTGGCGGAAACGTGATTTTTCAATATGCAGTTTTTTTTTCAGATCAAAGAGTAAGTAATAATATAGTGAAAAGGTTTAGTATTCCTAAAAGTTTACAAGTACATGAAAATGGAATAATATCTCTAAAAATGACTCCTTCAAACTTTTCTTTTATAGAAACGATTGTTTAAAAGACATGTTAAAATAAACTGAAAGCGGGTAAAAGGTCAAGTGACCAGTGGCCGTAAACAAATGATTAAAAAACAAATTGAAGTTGAAAATTGAAATGGATTGAAATTGAAATGAATTCCGACATAACGAAATACATAAATGACTGTATGCGGTTTTCTTGACAAATAAGGAATCATCCATCATAAGTTAAAAAAGACTAGTTTGGTCGCTTATTGGTCAAAGTTTTGTTACTGTTTTAAACTGACAAAATACGACTATTCGTTCAGTGACAAATGTAAGGAATACTAGTTGTTCCAAAAAGTGATGGTATGTAAGAACAAAATTGTATCTAATGTTTTCCTTAGTACCGATGGATAAACTTTGCTGATTTGCAGAAAATATTTAAATTACGTTATTAAATCATAAAACATTAGATATCATATAATTTTCATATTTTAACACATGTGGCATTGACAGCATCAACAATGAACGAAAGAGGTCATAATATGTAAGCCCCACCATGTTATTACTGTTGTCAAAATATGTAATGTAATTTTGTAGGTTGTTTGTTGCTGCCTCCGAGTAGAAGAGCAATGGCGAAGCGAAAGAAGGCTGCGACAAGGACTGTCGCGACGAGGCGCACTAGTCGGCGCGGGAAACAGACGAGTAGTGTCGCGCCTACTGAGGGCGAGCCCTCTGCGTCCGTCGAAGCCACAGCCGAAAATAACGAGCCTCCGTCTCCTCAGCCCAGTACCTCTGAGCTCCAGTCAGGATCCAATGATGACCACAATATCTCAGAATCACAACCATCAGAGATACAGGAGACAACCTCTAAACCCAACCCTGTTCCAATCATTTCATTGCACAAGAAGTTTGGCAAATACAGATGTTTGTTCAATAGTGATGATGCATTTCTTAGAAAATATGAAATTGGGAGTGATAGTGAAACCAACAGTAGTATGGAAATTAGAATAGTTGACCCATGTGCCAGCTCTGAGTCTGATTCAAATGCTGCAATAGATACACAATCAGATACAAACAGTGTTGTTTGTATCAGTCCAATGAACAGTGTTACAAATGTAGTGCAGTGTAGCTCAAGAGATATATCACCTTTGACTGTAACACATCAAGCCTCTGAAAATCATGAACGAGAGTTGGATGAGCAAAAAAATAGGGATCTGGAGTCTCCTTCAATATTAGATGATAATTCTCAAATCACTGATGATTTTGATGAAAAGATTGAGATCACAAGGAAAGAAAGCCCTGTGATGATTGAAACAGATGCTCTTTCAAAAGAAGCAATTTCATCTAAAAATCAAGATTTATGTCCACAATATAATGAAACTGATCATAGTATTCTTCTGGAGGATGACCAAGCGGACTACAATTGTGATGATGAGGAAATTATAACAGTTGTACAAATAGTTGAAGATGACAATCCAGAACTTTACTATGACATCAAAATAGATAGCCCAAAAGTTAATGCAGGACAATTCGAACAAGAGCAAAGTAAAAAGTCTCAAGAGATAGATTTTCAGAGACATTTTCAGAATTTAAAATTGAATTCAATTGCTGAATCCACCTCTCCAATGGAATGTTCAGAAATTATTGATATTACAACACCATGTGGCACTCCAGATCTCCAAACACCCAAAGACAGTTTGAATGATCTGTTAATAAGACCAGATCCTAGTTTGACACCTAGTTCAACTCTATCAGACGATAGTAATTGTTCTCGGGCAGATCACATTCAAAACAACTCTAATGATTCAGCTGAGTCATCACCAACAGGGGTACGCAGGTCGAATCGTATAAAAACAATAAGTAATCTCAAACAAAAAACTAAAGGTTATGGTCTAGTAAAGACCCCACTGAAAAAGGCTCTGATAACTCAAACAAAGTTAAAATTAGAAGAAATTGGATCTGACAGTCAGGAGAAATTTAGTGATCAGGGTAACACAGCTCCAAATTCTCCTTCGTTTCCAGTTCCATCAGAGATGCCTGTAAAAGTAAAGTCTAGGTGGAGGCGGTCTAGTGAGTTAGAAATGGGAACAAACTCTCCTGCTAGCTCACCATTAGCTAGTCCAGGTCTGCCCCAACGTATGCCGGCTGTGAATGAAGGGAATGAAAGTGAAGAGCAGGAGTCTGTAGCTCTAAGTAAAGAAGCATATGATAAAATAATCGAAGACAGAATGAATCAGTACCAGCATTTAGATGAGAATGAGTATTTATGTGAAAGGATGATTAGTAAGGAAACTAAGAAAATGATCTGTGACTGTTTCATGACCAAAGAAGAGTTAGAACGCGGTGAACTAGCATGCGGTGAAGATTGTCTTAATAGACTACTTATGATTGAATGGTGAATATTGTAATTGAGATAAGGTTCAAATTTTGTTCCGTGATTTTTAAGCAGACTAATAATTAGAATTGTCAATACATTCCAGTAACTCCAGATGTCCTGTAGGAGATCGTTGTACAAATAGAAGGTTCCAGAAGAGAGAGAATGCTGCTATAAAAGTTTTCTATGCGGACAAAAAAGGCTGTGGAGTTGAAGCTAATGTGGACATACCAACGTAAGTAGTGTAAAACATGATAGCACAATCAATTTTGTGGTTAGACTGTTCATTATAGTCCAGAGCATGATATAAAAGTGCAATGCGAATGTTCAATCTTGAAATGCAGCTAATTATCCTCAAAACAACAACATGGCAACTTTTAATTGAAAAATATATATACATTTATGTAAATGCTGATATTTTTCATGGCTACTTTGTAAGGATTATTTTTGTGATAACCTTGATGGCTGTGACATTTACTATATATATCCAGGCACTGAAAATGTATCATAAGTAGTAAAATAATAAGTAGTTGTTCATGTCACAAAGTTACCATTATATGTTTATGATTCTGATTCCTCCAAAAATGACTACTATTTTTGGTTACTTATTGATTTAAGATAATGGATAAGACTTGGGTTTAGTATGAATGTATTCACATTATATGAATGATTAAGTGGTATTTCACAAAAAAAAAATCATTTGTCTTCTCTGACAGCACTTTGAAGCTTACACAGACTACTTAGTAAAATGTTGTCTAGTAGCCTTGTCAATTTTTTTAACCATAATTGAAAAATAATGTTTCATAGTAGAGTCGAGAGTCGAGTAGAGTAGTCAAGAGATAATATTATGTACAAAATAAAATTAGATTATAAAGTTTTTTATTGCCCACAAGTACTGTTTTATTATTTTATCGACATGACATGATAAAAATGGTTATGTACGTTCTTACTAAATGCCGCTAACAATATGAGAATAAGTAGAAAAATAAACACTTTACAGATTTTATTAGCAATTCTAATAAATGTTTTATCTCTGCAGCATGCACTCCTAGTTCATGCTTTACTTTCGTCTGTATGGACTTATCTATAATTGTTATTGAAACATTTTTTTATATTGCTATTTAACACCTGTTCAATCAATACCTTTTAGTTTTTTACTTTTGAATAAAAACTAATCAAGTGAAACAGGATACTTCATCTTTGTCTTCAGAGTGACTGTCCCGTTAGTCTAGTAATTAATGACAAGGCCAGAGTATCTTTACAAAAATACATTGAGTATTTAAGGTCAGGATGTATGTACTTATTCTTGTCTCAGATCTGTATGTTATCCGGTAGATACATAACCATAACATAGAAAATTGTGGTGGCCAGGTAGGTAGGTGATATGTTGGATGATAAAAATCTAAAACTGTAATGAATTTTCAGGGGTGAATTTCTGATGGAATATGTAGGGGAAGTTCTAGATTATGAACAATTCTACAAACGCGCTCAAGCATATTCGGATGAAAATAATCTCCATCACTACTTCATGTCTCTAAAAGGTGATACGGTAATAGATGCTACGATGAAGGGGAATATATCAAGATTTATCAATCACTCGTGTGATCCTAATGCTGAGACACAGAAGTGGACTGTGAACGGGGAGCTGAGAATTGGGTTCTTCAGTAAAAGAGATATTGTAGTCGGAGAGGAGATCACATTTGATTACCAGTTCCAGAGGTTTGGGTGAGTGGAATATATGTCTCTATCACGCATCACAAATTAAAAACAATAAAGGTAACATAAGTTAAAAAAAAAAGAATCATTAGTGGCTTTAAACAGCAATAAATAATAATTATTGTTTAAGAAAAATTGGACTCATGGAAGATTTACATGTATAATTTTTTAGTGGCACTCAACACAATAAAAACAATGACTGAATACATTTTGTAATTTATTAAAATAATAATAACAAAATTATTTTTCATGGTCCTAGTAAATCTCTAAGAAATGAAAAGCAATTCAATAGTCAATATAGCTATGCAGTCAGTACAACCGCATTCCATACGCACACAGATAACGAATCACGACTTACAAATTAAATTGGGAACGTATTGTTATTTGTTGTTATGTTATTGTTATTTATTGTTATGTTATTGTAATTTATTGTTATGTTATTATTATTTATTGTTATATTATCGTTATTTATTGTTATGTTATTATTATTTATTGTTACATATTTATTCTTATTGTTTTCATACAGGAAGGTCGCTCAGCGCTGTTATTGCGGCACCGACAACTGTCGCGGCTGGATCGGTGGCGAGCCTGACTCTGACGACGAATATGATGACGAGGTAAATCATACTCTCATTCAAAATAATAATAAAAATTTTTTTGAAGTATTATTGTCGAGTGTATTGGAAAATTACATAACTCACATGAACCTGAAAATATATAAATTGTCTTATTTAAAAACCATTTTATAAATTAGAAATGTTTTCTTTTATGTTTTGTCTTCGCTGAGTTTCCGTAAAAAAATGTCGTGCAATTAAAAACTAACTAACACGATTAATATTAAAAACAGGAGGAGGAAGATGTGTCCACGTCAAAGTCTAGTACGTCTGAAGGGGCGCAGTCCGAGTCGACGAGCGCGGAGCAGCCGCTGCCGAAGCCTCGTAAGCCGAAACGTGACCGCAAATATAAACCTAAGCCGCCCGAACTTGAACAGGACGCTGACGTAAGCAAAAACCGTTTTTACTAACTAATTCAAGTCACTAATTCAAATTTTCATTTAACAATCTAAGTCATATTTCAAGTAACGTCAGACAGTGGACAGGTCATCAATCTGAGAACTGCTTGACGTACCATATATACACATTTGTAGATTTCTTAATAAATATCATACATGAGAGTAAAAGAATAAAAAAATATTACGCACCCAAAACTCATTGATAATGAGAAATATGACATAAAAGGCCCTTTTTAGTGCTGAAAAAATTTGTAATTGAATTTCTGTTGGAACTAAAAATATGAAAACAACTTATGATTGATCAAAATTGCAGATTGAAGAAGATTTAGAAGCATTAAATCGCACTGGCGTGAAGAATCAATCGCATACGTTGCGGCTTTCTCGTACAGTTGTCCGTGCCAAAGGAAGAAAAGCGCAGATAGCTTTACTAAGACTGCTGAGAGACGCAGATCTGCCGTGTCGAAGACTATTCTTAGACTACAGGGGTCTGAGATTATTGGCGCCTTGGTGTACTGATGCTCCGTTAGACTTCAAGTACGTAGTGTTTTGAACAATTTTTTTGAGAGCTTCATTTTGACAGGTTTACAAACAATGATGTTCAGTTATCAAACCACTATATGCAGTCTATAACTGATATTTTATATTTATTTCAAATTGATTGATGCTCCTACTGTCTCTAATAGTCATATAAATATAATAGACACATTACAGTCTGAAATGAAACGATTTAGTCTACAAAACAAATCATCAATCAATCAATCAATCATTTGCCTTTTCAGATTGGAAATGCTGCAGACAGTAGATCGGTTGCCAATCCCGAACAAGACACTGGTTCAAGAAAGCCGTTTCTTTATAATTGTGGAGCGTTGGTTGAGTACGGCGGACACTCTACCAGATAACAATGTATTCATTGATGAAGCCACCGGTAATATACGAAATTAAATAAAAATGTAGGACTAGTAAAATCGACAAAAAACAAAACCATAATGTTTGATACCTAATTTACAAAAAGGATAATAAAAAATATAAACGGTTGAGTGCCCCAAAACTGAAAAAATGTTAATTCAATTTCAGGTTTGCCCATTGACTTACCAAATGGACCAAATCCAGAATCTGCTGTGAGTCCAGACAAGATAAAGGAAAATACGAATATTATCGAAAAAATAAAGGATCTATCGAGCCAATTGCTTGAACGATGGTCCAGTTTAAAGGTATGTGATATATTTTTTACACTTTTGCTCAACGAACTGCTGAAATGATAGAAGTATGGAAAGTAACAAATAATATTAATTTTACAACAATTCACTTTTTATTTCAGGAAGTTTTCAAAATACCTAAGAAAGAGCGAATACAACAAATGAAAGAACATGAACGTCAAGCCAATGTAGAACGACGTGCTGCTGACTCGAGCGGTTCCAGAGATAGGGATAGAGAAAGAGATAGAAGAGAAGAGAGAGATAGGGAAAGAGAAAAGGAAAGGGAACGCGATAGAGAAAGGGAAAGAGAACGAGAACGTGACAGAGAACGTGAACGGGAAAAGGAGAAAGAGAGAGAAAGAGACAGACATAGGGAGAGAGAAAGAGACCGTGACAGGGATAGAGATAGAGATGACAGGGATAGAAGAAAAAGAAGAGTTAGTCCCGAGGGAAGGAGAAGTATTCGGTGAGCTATATATATATATTACTTAATGAAACCACAGTAGATTTATTCAAAATGTGATATGTAGATATACAAAGTGAGTGTCGTTAGTTTTTTGAGACTACAGTGATTCCATCTTTGTCTGTTCCTGTCTTATGTCGTTGTTCGAGTCTAGTGACTGCCGCCTTTGAGGCAAGACCTTATTTTACAATGCCAATTGCATTCTTATAGGTTTAGATGGAGTTAATTCTTAAGATGAAGCTACATCATTTTACGTACTTTGAAAATGTTTCTTTCACAAACTAAACCTACACCCTTAAATTATATCTTTTGAAAATTCGCTTTTAGGGAAGTTAAAATATAAATAAATCAGAACACAATGTAACATGAACAACACTTGAAGTCGTCGTGGCCTAAAGGCTAGGACGTCCGGTGCATTCGTATCGAGCGATGCACCGGTGTTCGAATCCCACAGGCGGGTACCAATTTTTCTAATGAAATACGTACTTAACAAATGTTCACGAGTGACTTCCACGGTGAAGGAATAACATCGTGCAATAAAAATCAAACCCGCAAAATTATAATTTGCGTAATTACTGGTGGTAGGACCTCTTGTGAGTCCGCACGGGTAGGTGCCGCCGCCCTGCCTGTTTCGGCCGTGAAGCGGTAATGCGTTTCGGTCTGAAGGGTGGGGCAGCCGTTGTGACTATACTGAGACCTTTGAACTGTATCTCAAGGTGTGTGGCGCATTTTGCGTTGTGGATGTCTATGGGCTCCAGTGCCCACTTGGCACCGGGTGGGCTGTGAGCTCGTCCACACATCTATGCAATAAAAAATAAATAAAATAAAAACATAATTGAAAATCAATTCTTAGGCGGCATTTAGGGTTTCAAGGGAAATCGGCGGCGGCGTCAGTTACCTTTGCATAAATTTGCAGGTCCGCCAATAAAAACTTAACCAATTAATACTATGAGTTATACTATGTTTAGATTAGCAAATTTATATTGTAAGCAATATAAACCTAACGGCTTAGTTTAGGTATTTACAAGCTGGAATTGTAATAATTTTTCCACGTACCATCCGGCTTTGGAATGAGCTCCCCTTCACGGTGTTTCCTGAGCGCTATGACATGCCCTTCTTTAAACGAGGCTTGTGGAGAGTTTTTTAACTGGCTTCAAAAAAGGAGGATGTCAATTCGACTATGTTTTTTTTTATGTTTCTGACCTCATAATTTTTGACTGGTTGAATCGATTTTGATGATTCTTTTTTTATTAGAAAGCTGACGCTTCCCGTGTGGTCCCATTTCAATTTAGTCCAGTTTTGATAATGGTATCCATGAGAAAACCATGTAAGTCTTAAATTTGCATTAAGTACGTGCGCGACAAATAGATGAATAACTCAATATCACGCCAACCGATTATTGTTTTTTTAGTGTATATTAATTTGTTTTGGAAAAACCTTTTTTTTTATTTGAAGTCTGTTTTTGATAAAGCATGTCTATTTACAATTATTTTTTACTAGCTGACCCGGCAGACTTCGTAGTACCTCAATCGATAAATAAAAGACCTAAACTTTTGTATAAAATAAATTTAAAACAAACAAAAGAAATCCGTCCGACGGGGGACACATCAAAGGGAAAACAAAATTGTTATTTTTATTTATTTTCCGAGCATTTTAAACCTTCTCGGGACTTCCACAAATAATTCAAGACCAAAATTAGCCAAATCGGTCGAGCCGTTCTCGAGTTTTAGCAAGACTGACGAACAGCAATTCATTTTTATATATATAGATAGATTTTACAAGGTAATCTTGTCGCGTTCTGCCTCGTTCCCTTTTCGCCCTCCTTTATGTGTATGTCAATAATTGGATGTATCTTGCAGTTTAAGTGAAAGAGTACTGGCGGCCGTGCCTCCCATGTCGAAGGAGGAACGCAGACGGGCGTTCGCGGAGGCGGCCGCCGCGGCCGAGGAGACGCGCCGGCAGCGAGAGCAGCGCCCGCCATGGCCCGGCTACTGGCCCCACGAACAGTTCTCGCCGGTAATGAATATTGAAAAAAATCTAAGATTGGAAATAAAAACAATCTAATATTAAAAAAAAAGACATGCCCGCTGAGTTTCTTGCCAGTTCTTCTCAAGACGGAGGCTAGTTTTTTGTGAATTGGCGGTAGTTCTTTTTGACGTTCAACAAGTATGTACTTTCATTTATGTTGATTTTTTTTATTTGATTTGATTTGAATGGACATCGAATATCCCAAATATCTGCACTAATAATATATTTTAGCTTCTTGGCGGGAACGCGAGGAGTGAAGTTGTGTGATTTGTTTTATTATTGTCTATAAACTGCAGGTTTAAATGTGTAATAACGGTGGTTTAGTAAATGTTTATTATCTGTGAAAGTGTACAAATGTGAAAAAATGAAACAAAACCGCTGGACGTAACTTCTCGAGATCCTCCAAAAAGTGCACTGAAAAAATTTCAGTAAATGACCACCATTTTACTGAGATTATTTTTCATCCCGTATCATCTCATTTCATTTAATTTCATCCCAATTGATTAATGTATTAAATTAATCATCTTCATTTTATTTAATTTCACTCCATATTATCATTTTTCATCAAAATAAGAATATAAATTAAAATAAGACATGACCTAAAGGTCTTAGTTACCAGGTCATAAAATCCCTTAAAAAAATTATATATTTTACGGCTGTCTGGTGTAGTGGTAAGTGACATATACTACACAAGGAGGTCGCGGGTTCGAATCCGGCCAAGGGATGATATTTGTATGATAAATTATATAAAATGTCTTTTCCAGGGTTATGTATGTATATTAAATATATGTATGTGTGTAATAAAAAATTTACATTTATTTCCGTTATCTGGTACCTGTAACACAAGTTCTTTACGAACTTAGCACGGGACCAGTTAACGTGGCGTGCTTGTTAGTAAATATTAAAAAAAAAAATTTTTTGGACATTAAACGTCTTACAATTTTGTTTTCACGTGTACCGTAAAATGCAATTTATAAGTATTAGAGTGTTTTCGTGCTTTTTAGAAGTCTCTCAAACACTAAAAGTATTGCGTCCTTTTCTACTGAAAGCGAAGTCTGAATTTCTTACTTTTTTTTTATTAACGATAAGAACTTCGATTTTGTGATTCAGATTCACAAGAACTCGTTACAACTCGTGTTGTGTAATCTGTCTGGTATACAAAACAAAAAACAAGTAAAGATTCATTTTTTTTTGTTTTTTTTTTCTACCATTCTGATAGCCTTAAAAGGCTATTTCAGCTTCTCCTTGACGTGTAGGTGAGCTTACGGGGCTCAAACCGAAGTGTTGCTAACACTGGCCCTAGCAAGAGCAGTGCTTCGCAGAATCTACCACCGGATCGGAAACGCGACCCACTGAAAAGAACCGGCGAGAAACTCAGTGGGCTAATTCTTACACGGCACTACTCTTCAATAAAATAAATTCTAATAGTACTAAGTTTGCTGATCTATACTACTCAAGATATTCCTGTTTTGTACATTTGTGTATTATATATTTAAGTGAAATGTTATATTTAGCAGATGTTTCCCGGTGGAATGATGGGCAATGGGAACATGATGGGCGGCATGATGCCGAACATGCCGGCCAACATGTTGGGCTGCGTGCCTGACCTCCCTCAGGACTGGATGCAGCAGCACGAGTTTCCACCGCCGGGCTTCTGTCCCCCCTTCCCGCCTGCTCAGCCCTTCTGTATGCCGCAAGCTAAGTAAGGAATCCTCAATCTCTCAATCTGATAAATTCCCGTGAGAATGGTTTGCTAAACATCTAAATTTCAGTTTTATTTTTATATAATTACTAGCTGACCCGGCAGACTTCGTAGTGCCTCAACCGATAAATAAAAAACCTAAACTTTTGTATAAAATAAAGGACAATGCCCAAAAGTGGGCCAACTTTATGTTAAAACTTTATGTACTTGAAAAACTATGCCTTATTTTTTCACGTTGCTTAGTTTATGTATCAACATTTCTTTCAACCTGGCATTGTTTTACAAAAAAATAAATTACTTAACATCCCAAAATTGAGTGCCATAGTTTTTAAATTCGCCAATAGGCAAAGGGCTTAGCCCATAAAGCCTTATAGTAAACCTTTAAGCTGCCAAACGAAAGAGTTGTCTGTGACTTTAACAACAAATTATAAAAAAATAGCTAATGGTTATAATTCACAGACTTTTTAGTTTATTTTTGTTCAATTCAATATTTATATATTGTAATAATAATTATTACTTAAAACCATGAATTATTTAATATTTTTAGATATTATTGATTCCATTAGTAAAAATCTCAATGGCCTACCATTACTCTATTCTTATTTTAAATGATCAGAGAGCTTTGGCAGCAACCCGAGTGAAGCGTCACTTGAAGTTTTATTTTAATGTTTTTTTAATAGTTTATTGTGATGTATAATATATAAATTGAGTGTTGTTTTGTGTCTTAAACGTCATTGGAATAAAACTGTGGCTAACATAGCAGTGACTGTTTTTTTTTTCAAGATTTGCGGAAATTCACGCTCACTCAATGTGCTATTCATCGAGTTCACGTCAAAACTCCCAAAAAGCAATAAAAAGAGATGCACAAAAAAAAATAACTACGACAGACTAGGCTGTATAGGCTACGCTCTTTGCCTGCTTATTGGCGAATTTAAAAACAACAACAACAATATCGTTGCCGGCTTCCGGATTTTCATTTCATTTTATTATTATTATGAGGATATAATAATATTAAAATGTACGTAAGGGCTTATGTCTAGCAACATTAACCACAATTAACTTATTTAATACTGTAAATAATGATGAGAGCGATTATTGATTTCGAACAAAACAATTAACAACTTAATTTTAGCTGCAGAAAAAAACAGATTTCTCTTAAACCTGAGTGAGAATATAAAAATCGTTTTCTGAATATGAAACGATATTTCTTTGTCTATCAAATTAAGTTAAAACCATCATGACCCGACAACTTTTTTTAGGGACCCAAACGCGTTAAGAAAATGGGCATTGTCCTTTAAAAAAAAAAAAAGAAATCCGTCCGGGGGGGGGGGGGACATCAAAGGAAAAACAAATTTGTTATTTTTATTTCATTCTAAGCATTTACATATTTATCTACCTTTTAAAACTTCTCTGGACTTCCACAAATAATTTAAGACCAAATTTTGCCAAATCGGTCCAGCCGCTCTCGAGTTTTAGCGAGACTAATGAACTGCAATTCATTTTTATATATATCAATTTTAGAATACTCTAATTTCGTTTGTTACGGCTTATAACGAAAAACAAAAAAGGTTTAAATAATTATACAATGTAATTCGGTTATAAACAATATTGTTGCGTGTTTGTTGACGCTAATAAAATTTATATAATGGCAGCATGAACCCATTTGAACTGCGTGGTTTAGTTCAGTGGTTTATTGAGATAAGGTCTTACTCATATTTACTTTATTTTATGCAAATTCTGTGAAAAAAACAATATATACAATACACTAAGTTTTTTCTGTAGTTCCTTATAAGAAAATATTTTATTTCACAGCCTTTTAGAAATCACTTATATATGGTTTTTATCTTGTGTTGGTTTTTAAAGAATTTACACTATCTGACATTTTGAGATTTGCAAATATATATTTACACCACTTTCTGTAAATCCTGTGACGTTATCTACTATCGAAATTAAAACACATTCACGCTAAAAGATAATGTAAAAACTAATTCAAAAATGTGTTCCACAAAAAAGTCGAATTTACACATAAGATATTCCTAGTTTGAGACTATAGTAATGCTATAGTATTGCTTTGTTAGTCTTTGTAAACATTGAATAATTAAATATTTCAATAAAGAAGAGTTTTTAAAGTGCACTCATCATCAGGCCGTCAGCGCAAAAGTGGCCTAAGCTTACCATAGTTATTATGGAGCAGATGTTTAAGTTTTCATGAATTTGAATTTCAAAAAACAATACGCGCTAAAATAATGTTTTCAAAGCCATCTGTTATCTATGGGTGCAACTATGGATAGGCCGGTTTTGCATCAAAATTGAATATATTTAAATAAATTGAAATATACATATAAGCATTATTATGAAAAATTGAGGGTTAGGCCACTTTTGCGCTGACGGCCTCATATAAACACCGATTTTATTGCATTTTCAGTATGATGGGTATGAGCGGCTTCGGTGTTGGCGGCTTCATGTACGGACAGCAGATGGCGCCGTTCCCGCAGCCACAAGAACCGCCGCTACCGGTAATTATATGCAGCATTTTATTGCAGCATTTACAAATAAGAATTACTGAGTAAATTAACCCATAGACACAGCCCACTGAGTTTCTCGCCGGATCTTCTCAGTGGATCGCGTTTCCGATCCGGTGGTAGATTCTGCGAAGCACTGCTCTTGTTAGGGCCAGTGTTAGCAACACTCCCGGTTTGAGCCCAGTGAGCTCACCTACACGTCAAGAAGAAGCTGAAATAGCCTCTGAATAGCCTCTCAAGGCTATCAGCATTGGTAAGAAAGAAAAAAAAGAATTATATGATGTTAAGGAGATATCGATGCCAAGCAAAACTGAATTTGCTTGTTTGTTTGTATATTTAATATAATAATTATAAAAAATAAGCGGTTTACACAACAAGAATACTTTTAAAAACCATGAAATAAAATATGCAAGTGTATTATCAATGGCCCGAAGAGATATTGGTGTCATTCCGTAGATATTTGAGGTCAGTCGGAATTCAACATGTCCTCCGCTCGAGTAATAATAGATTAAAGCGTGGCCATCTTGTCTCTTTAGCGCTTCGACGAATAAGGTCCATTGACCTGCGCTGGACGCACCGCACGCGACTTATTTTATTTTGATTTGTATTTTTTGCTCATAAATGCCGGCGTACGGTACGGATAGTGAACGCAGCACTATGTGAAATCATACAAAGCAAAATAAAGTCCGTTATGTGCGGCCAGTCCGGCGCGGGCCAATGGACGCGTACCTGTAAGATGCGGCGGCGACATGTTGCAAGGGGCGTGGCTTAACCGGCTTTGCACACGGCACTCGGGTGACGGTGCTGTGTTGACTCGGCACGCTGTCCACAGAGCGCGCCGGTGCCCGCGGCGCCGCCCCCCGCGCCCCGCCCGCCGACGCTGAGCGACACGGGCGAGGTGCTGCTGCCGTCGCAGTGGCGCAGCACGGTGGACCCGCGCGGCCGCACCTACTACTACCACGTCAAGCTGCGCCAGCCGCAGTGGTACCCGCCGCCGCTGCCGCCCTCGCCGCCGCCCGGTAACTACTACTGTGGTTACATTACTATCTAGTCTTGTGCATTTATTCACATCTTAATTCAAAGTGTTCTCAGCAAATGAGACGGGGGAAAAATCCGATAACGGTTGGCATTGCTAATCTATACCATAAAAGAAAAACTGTACTAATATTATTATAAAGCTGAAGAGTTTGTTTGTTTGAACGCGCTAATCTCAGGAACTACTGGTGCGACTTGAAAAATTCTTTCAGTGTTAGATAGCCTATTTGTTGAGGAAGGCTATATAACATCACTCTAAGATCAATACAAGCGGAGCACCAATATAGAATGTTTCAAAATCGGGATTTTTTTCCCCTTTTGAGAGCTTCCGCTGCGTGCGCTGCAGAAACGGTTAAAGTTTCGCTAAAATAATGTATGACAGAATTGTTCCCCTTTGAAAGATCTAAAAAAAGTCCGAGACAGCATATGTCTATATGTTAAGTTTGCTCATAATAACGTTTTTTAAACTAACCAAAGTTCTCAAATAAAGCATTATTTGTGAACTATTACACGCGGACGAAGTCGCGGGCAAAAGCTAGTGATTTTTGATCCATATCATAATATCATAAAAGTATTTTTCCGTAAATGGTTACGGAAAAATAATTTTTAGATTTTAATAGAATATGTAGAACAGTAAATAGAATTTAATACAAATATTTTAATAGAGTATTTGGTTTAAAAAAAACAATTAATGCAAATGTCAGTCGAGGTCAATGCCCTGTGTGGTCATGGGTCCTCTAGCTTTATACACCACACTGCAATATTAAAAAGAAAGGTAATTAATTATATTGCTTACTTCCTTACTTACATGTAAAACACTTTTCAAAAGTTTAGGACAGTATAAATGATAGAAACTTTTTATTCCAAGCAGAGGACAGTTCATCGGACGAAGAGGAGCAATTGAACAGCTCTTTAGACAGTCCGTTGGTGAGGCGACATGCTAAAGGGAAACTTGTTGAAGGAGTTAATGGTATATATGAAGGTAAATAAATTAATATCTTCAACAACTTGAAGTCTTTGAAGTCGTCGTGGCCTAAAGGATAAGACGTCCGGTCCATTCGTATGAAGCGATGCACCGGTGTTCGAATCCCGCAGGCGGGTACCAATTTTTCTAATGAAATATGTACTCGACAAATGTTCACGATTGACTTCCACGGTGAAGGAATAACATCGTGTAATAAAAATCAAACCCGCAAAATTATAATTTGCGTAATCACTGGTGGTAGGACCTCTTGGGAGTCCACACGGGTAGGTGCCACCACCCCGCCTATTTCCGCCGTGAAGCAGTAATGCGTTTCGGTTCGAAGGGTGGGGTAGCCGTTGTAACTATACTGAGACCTTAGAACTTATATCTCGAGGTGGGTGGCGCATTTACGTTGTAGATGTCTATGGGCTCCAGTAACCACTTAACATCAGGTGGGCTGTGAGCTCGTCCATCCATCTAAGCAATAAACAAAAATTAAAAAAAACATTGTAAATAAGTTTTTTTTTTATATGCTGTACATTTATTAGCTTTTTGAACTGTATATAATATTTTTGAATGTAATGAAATTTAGGAAGTTAGTGTTCGCCTTTTTTCAAGGCATTCGATGTTCCTGATCTTACTCGGGTAGTAAGTAAGTAATTGATCAAGTTTTATTACTTAGAGTATCAAAATTCACAGTTCGAATTGCTGTCCCCACCAGTAAGGCGCCTTCGTTGTGTCTATTCCCGTCGTTGAAATCACGCATGTCAGTTCCAAGGATAGAATAACTTTTATCATACGTCATGTCTTAAAGATCACGTTATGGTATCTTCGAACTCCGCTAGCCGATTAGCAGATGTGATTCTAGCTTTTAAAATCAAGCATAGTTTGATTAAAATTGTAACCCAAAATAATTAGTAGTCTTATCGTAGTAGTACACAAAGGAATCTTTATAGATTTTTTTGACGTGACAACGTCTTATAATTCGATGGAGCCGGCTGGCTGCACGCACGAAAAAACATGACTCATTGAGGCGTTCCATTTAAGGCTTGAAGTGCAAGCGAGAGCGTGCAACGAGCGACAAAGAGGCACAATCGGCCTCCGCGTACGGCAGCGTTCGACATCTGTCTCTCTCCTACTTGAGTGAGCGATGCATCCGCGTGGACAGCTGCTATACAATAATACATTTACATGTTTTCGTCAAGTATGAAGTTCAGTGAAAAGTGAATGTGGTGTCAATTGTTTATAGCAACGATAATTGCGATAATTGAAAATGAAACCATTCCATCAGTATTTTCTTATGACGTTGTCACGTTCAGTTATCGTCAGTAAACCGACTTTACAGACAACCGATTTTTTTTGTATTCAATAAACATACTACAACATTTGCATGTCTCGTTCTTAAGAAAATGCTATTCTTGGTGGTGATTTTATCTGAGTCACATATGATTAGAAAGCAACCTTCTTATTAATATCGAGGAATGAAAGGCTATTTGGTTTAAGCGGCATTTCGCGTAATACCCACGTTTAAATTTGTAATCAAAGGTGCGTTTTATTTGGTATTAGTATCAACAGTACGATACTTTTAATTGAACTTCAATTAGGCTTACTTCATTGAAATAGCTGAAGAAGTATTTTTGTTATGATATACTTTCCAAATATTAAACTTTCAATGGCTCTCCTAATATTTAACCTTATAGTCGCCTGGTATTCGTATGTGTTGACATTCATGAACAAAATAAAAAGTAAGCTAACTAATATGTCATTAATAAAGTTCTGAACTTTAGAATATATTGCTCGGCATATGCTAAAGCATAGACGGATATTCGTTTAAATCACATACACATTATGTCTCTGAAAATTGCAGCCTAATTCATCAGAGTCCTACACAAATAAGGTTTCTTCTTCTTTTTCTCCCTTATCTTATCCCACTAGGTGGGGTCGGCACAGCTAATTATTCTATTCCATTCTCTTCTATCAGCCGTCATCTCAACATTCACTCCTCTCTCTCTCATATCGTCATTCACACATTCCGTCCATGTCTTCTTCGGTCGACCTCTCCCCTCTCCACTACCTTGCACTACCATTTCCATACATCTCGTAGTCACAGGCACCTTCTCTCTGCGCATCACATGTCCTATGTTGATTACCGGGGCTACTTTTACCCTTCCTCTGATATACTCATTCTTTTTCTTTTTATTTAACTTAATTGATGTAAATTAATTGAGACATCTGCTCCGGATGATACTTCGTACCTTGAATACCCCGGCTACGTATTGGAGCACAACTTCCTGCGTAAAGCCGGGGTGTGTGTATTCGTCCGGGCTGATGTCTGTTGTCGCCGTCTACGAAGCCTCGAACAACGGGACCTGTCCCTCTTGTGGCTGCGCGTAGATCACGGGGGCTGTACCCGAGTCTACGCGTGCCTGTACAGGTCCCNTTTTGCCACGTACCATCCGGCTATGGAATGAGCTCCCCTCCACGGTGTTTCCTGAGCGCTATGACATGTCCTTCTTCAAACGAGGCTTGTGGAGAGTATTAAGCGGTAGGCAGCGGCTTGGCTCTGCCCCTGGCATTGCTGAAGTCCATGGGCGACGGTAACCACTCACCATCAGGTGGGCCGTATGCTCGTCTGCCTATAAGGGCAATAAAAAAAAAAAAAAAAAAAAAAAAAAAAAACATTTTGTACTCAGTTCGAAAATAATACTGAAGGTTTTGATTTGTTGCAGTAATCAAAGAAGACGCTCAGAATGGTTTGATACCGGAGCACGCACTTCTTCACATGAGGCCAAGGAAACGAAGAGTTGGATTAGTTTCAGAAAGACCTATAAGTGTAAGCTTTGTTTTTATTCACTTTGAGTTTAATTATTAGGTTTGCCTTTTTTCTATAAATGCTACCTCAAAGTTTTAATATATCTGCTTTCGATAGGGACATGTGTCACCTATATTTTATTTTATTTAGTATATTATATAGTGTTATCCAAGAGAGCACTGACCTAGAAACTGAGCACTGAGCTGGACGTCTTGGGCATGACGTGGAAGAAGTTAAAACAGACTGCCCAAGACCAATGTAAATGGAAGGATTTCATTCTAGCCTTATACCCCAGCAGAGGGTAATAGGAAAGAAAGAAGAAGATAGAGTATAATTATGTATAATATGTATTATTATATAGTATATTATGTTGTATTAGATTATTTATGAAAGTATTTTTAGCCTTCATGCATTTTAGTGGCTCGATTTTTATTTTTTTGTTGTAAGACAACAATCGACTATGTTCTTCGTATTTAATAGTCGGTCTATTAGTCTTTAATAAATTCAAATCTTGTCTTGGGTTATTATAAATATATACATGAATAATGATAATGATCGAATTCTCTCACTGAGAAAAGCATTTTTATTAAGTTTAAATATTTTTTGTAATTCCACAGCCTCGTACGGAAGAGGACAAATTAGCAGGAAAATTAGAAATCAAACGATATAAACAGACTAAAGAGAAACTTCGAAGACGTCGTGAGAAATTACTGCAGAAGGTAATGCTGGCTTCCGGGAAACTCAAACTCAGACCTGGACAAGCAAAATTACCCGTGAGTACAATATTATCCGTTTTTACCGTCAATGAATAAATACTTGTACGCTTATGCTGCTTAGGTCGGCTGGTCATTTGAAGGCGAAATTGTCATTTAATTGACAAATACAAATTTACTAGTTTAGCACCGTAGGAGATACGAGCATCGTTATGAGATTGCCTTGTCTCTGCTATGGGCATTAATCGTGATGAAGGTTCTCATGATTAAGATGTACCTCTAAATAGATATCACTGGTGGTAGGACCTTTTGTGGGTCCGCGCGGGTGGGTACCACCACCCTGCCTATTTCTGCCGTGAAGCAGTAAGGCGTTTTGGTTTGAAGGGTGGGGCAGCCGTTGTAACTAAACTTGAGACCTTAGAACTTATATCTTAAGGTGGGTGGCGCATTCACGTTGTGGATGTCTGGGCTCCAATAACCACTTAACACCAGGTGGGCTGTGAGCTCGTCCACCCGACTAAGCAATAAAAAAAAGAAAGTAAAATATTATCTAATTTTCCACAGCTGTTAGACTTATCCGAGATAGACAGCGGGAGTGAATCGGATTCGGACGAGGCGGAGAAGTTGTGCTCCGGGTCGGTGAGCGTGCCTCCCGCTGTCCCCGCGCCCCCCGCCCCCGCCCCCGCGGCCGTGAGCGCGGAGACGTCGCGGCGCATCAAGGAGCAGTTCCGCAGCGCGATGGCGGGCGTCATGGTGCAGCACCTCAACCCGTACCGCCACTCGGACGCGCCGGCCGGCAGGATCACGTGCACGGCTGACTTTAAACACCTCGCCAGAAAGGTGAGGCACCATGTTTTAATTGTAAACAAGTGGTTCCGCAGTAGTCGAAATTCGACTATAATTAATTGAAATTATAAGTTTGAACATTATTATGGTTCTATTGTCAAAGACTATTTATTATACTTCTATAATCACAAATTTCGCCAAGACTACACTTTAGACAAATATTAACAAAGACAAACAGTATTTAATCTATTCTCAATTTGACCATAGATTTAATGTTGTATCTTTTATGCATTATTTAAAAAAATATTAGCATTGTACACTCTTTCTCTATATTCTCTATAAGTTTGGGAAATTTCACACTCCTCCTTCCGCGCAATTTTCGTAAAAAGTTTTTGCCTCACGTATTAATGTATAGATTAAGTAAACATCGCCATCATTCGCCGTGGTTGACCAAATATATGAAACGCAGCCAGTTCCCGTAAATATCCTAAATATGATAATTAACATACGCCGATTACACTACTGTCAACTGAATCTGATAACTGACATGATCAATAAATATATACAAATATGTATAAAGTCTAAAGGATCTCAAGCCTGCAAAAACTCAGGTTTAAATATTTTTTTTAAATATTATGTTTTAAAAATGTTTGGTAAACAATACAATAAACTTTGCACAAGAGTCCCTTGTGTTATGGGTGCCAGAATCATGCAAGGCAAGAACATTATACACCCAGAGCCAAAAATCCTAATAATTTTTACAAATATGAAACTTACGAGAAATATGATTCAAAACAATAAACTATTTTACGTTTTTCACTTTCAGTTAACACACTTCGTAATGTTGAAAGAACTGAAACATTGCCGCTCCGTCGAGGAACTTGTCGTCACCGATTCTGTACGATCTAAAGCGAAGACTTTCGTCAAAAAATACATGGCCAAGTTCGGTCCGGTGTACAAACGGCCACCCGAGGAAGCAGACTAGGTACGTCACTGCACAGATTAGGGCATAACAATTAGTACACGTCAGTGTCATGTGACAGCAAACGTCACATCGTTCGACACATCCCGCCAGTGCTCGGTGTGAATCTACTGTTTTAACTTCATTCGAATTGTGAGATTGAAAACTAGACTTATAATTATTTTGAACAAAGAAAATTGATTGAAGAATTTTCCAATGGATGATGATAGCCTTTTTGTAAATTTTGCCTTCGTTTAAAATAGAATGAAGCAGATGAAAATATTGTTTTGTAATGATTCAATGTGAAAGATAAAAGATCCTTCGTATATATGACATGTAAGAGTTATTAGGTGCAAATCAAAGTCGATGTAAAAAAGTTAGTTAGTTCAATTCACTCAAACGAAATCATTTGAAATGAAGTTACGTTTTCATATCGACACCGTCACAAGATGGAGTCAAGGTTTACATATAATTAAAAATAAACAGCCATCACATTTTGTAAATTTTTAATTTATTGGCAAGTTTCAATGCCGAAATTTCCTAGTTTGCATTTAAGCAAAAGCCACTGCTTACAGTCAATTAATAAGTGAATATAGTTGTGCAAAAAATCTACAATTCATTATGAATGCTGAAATTTAGATTGTGAACACATAGTGAGAGGATACTATGGATGGTTTGATAATAAAATAGTGCCTTTGTATATTAATAGAGTTGGTTTCTATAGTCCTGTCATAAATGACCACAGTCATTGGAATGGTGTGCAGTATTTTAAACTTGTCTTTGCATAACTGTATTCACGTAAGAATTAAAACTATATTCATATAAGAGAAGAATAGAAGTCTTCTTCTAGTGTTTTATAGCATTTGGCTAATAGAATAAGAGTTAATAGTAAATTTAAACAGAGTACATTATCATTTCAATTAGCAATAACTTTGTAATGAAGGCTATAATTATTTTGATGTAATAAGAAAATTAAATGGATGTGTGTTGCATGTTGATTGAAGTCTGTTACAGCTTGATGATGCAACCTCAATGAGGTTCAGTGCAGTTTTAGACTAGTTTATGTGAATAGCTTTATCGAGACCAGAACCTCGCACATGTGTATGGAAACACATAATTTGTTCAAAATATTGGCGTTTTGTTTTTATTCGGTATAGAATAATTGCATCCATTATTGAAAATCTTTTGTTTATTGTAAAAAAATGTAAGTAATTTGCTGTCTTAACTTAAATTGTGTTTAGTCAAATGAATGCGTGACAAAAATAATTTAGAAGCCAGTCTTTTCATTTTTAGTCTTTTATCTAATAAATACAACTGAAACGCGCATCATGTAGACATAATTTTCAGTTTTACACAGAAATACAAAAAAAAAAAATAGAATCTTAATCACAAAATGTCAGTTTTGAACAAATTGTTTCCCAATGGAAAAGAAACTGGATTGTTTCTATCTCCTAGATGCTAAGTGGAGCATACACAGAAGTACACATTAAATTTATTTTACTAAAATGACTTGAAACAGAATAAATAATGTTATTGTATTAATTTAGAAATTTATCTGAGAATTTTATACATGTATTTCATAAGAATGAATATTAGACTATATTTTAAAGCATAATTGAGGGTGGAATGGTTCAAACCTTTGAAATATTAAAAAATAATTGACATTAAGCCGCTCAATTTTATTAGCTATTAGAATCAGACAATTTATAAAAAGTCTCGAATATAGTAAGAATAGCAAAACATGAATTCAATAGCAAAATCAAAATTTCAATTACATAATATCACATTTCATAATATTTCGTATAAAGTACCTGAAGAATCAGAGTGTAACGTACAGTGGGTTGCAAAAATGCATTAAAATTTGAGTAAAATTTATGATCAATTTAACATTACCAAGTATATTTGGTTACTATTGATCCTATTCATGTTAAGAAATATTAATGGTATTATTATTTTATTGTAAAAATGTGATGTAATTTATGATACACATGTTATATAAATGATAGATATATTTTTTGGAAGTATAATGCAATACATTTATTGTATAAAACAATCAATGCCAATATATATTTTTTTTAATTCAGGATGAAATTTCATAATTCATAGATCATAAAATTTTGTATGTAGTTCTGCAACCAATTGTACATCTCGTTAATAATTTAATTTTCATCAAATAAATCTAGAATATTTATGTTTAAAATACTTATTTTTAAACTGAAAAAATTGTAACAAATTTGAGCGCAATGATTTGTTAGTGATTCCAAAAGCGAGTGACATTGTATGCGGTTTAGACATACATACACAAAGGTTGTAAAAGTGTGTTTCATATCGTTTGACCTGTGTGCTTAGTGCGAGTTTTTTAACGTTCTCGATAGCGTAAAAGTTAAAAACTCTCACTAAGCACACTGATGAAGCTCGTGTCGGTGAACACATGAAATTTTCCTACCAAACTATGTATTGATTTTAGATTTGTTTAGATGTGCTGACTGTATGAAATCGTAAACGTTTAATATATAAAAACATTTTATGTAAGTTTCTTTGATGCCCTTTCTATAAGTGTGTGTAAATATTGTAAATATACCTCGTGTCGTGTTATCAAAGAGCGATTAATATTTTTAAGCAAGGGATTGTAAGCGCTGTGCGATGTTCGAGCCTGTACCCAGGTCGATGAATGTCACTAGAATCGAAGCCGATGGAACAAATAAAGTTATTTCTTTTAAAGTTATGTTTTTTATTCACTACGAATCTTTCATTTTCTTTGATGCGAAGGTGTTGTGAATATTCTTGTATATGGAGGAAAGAATTGTCTTAACTTGAAAAACCCATAGACCTATATAGTAGGGACACGACATATTGTTCTATACGTACTATTGCTTATATAAATAGCACCCATTTTGAGGGCACACACATAAACATATATCTATCTCGTTCTTACTCAGCACTTTAACTCGCAGGAAAACAATATAACAGTATTTCAGTGCGTACATAAAATGAAACATGAATATACGTAAATGTCTCCGTCTCCGTCTAATGAGGCCGAAAATCCGCCATGTTTAGCGCGCCAAATGTCATTGTCACGTCAGTTCGGCCGTCTGTTTTGGGTTGTACATTATTTATTGACTTTGATATCGATTTAATATGATTGATTATATAAAATTTCATAATTTATCATGCTTAAAACATACAAAAATAATAATTAAAACGTATTTTATAGGATCTCAAGAAAGTCGATGTCCTAAAACTATTATCTATATGTATTTAAATTCATTATGGAGCCCTCATCCGAAAAATCCATTTTTCGGTCGGAATCTATTGATCATGACACTAATCATAAATACCACTTTAAAATATGTCATCAAAACATATTTAGACATTCTGTTTAGATATTTCGGGAAAAAGGCTACCGACAAAATCTCTTCGGAACTATTTAAATAAAATAGTTTTATTCCGCAGTGAGTAAAACACTATTGTAAATTTGTTAAATATTTAATAATTAAGTGATTTTAGAGAGGAAGTCACAAGGAATGACGTTTGTAATTAATGAATAAATGTTCTGTAGGTGTTTTTTTTTTCACGCGGTCCCTTGATAAGTTTAAAATTTGAATCACTCTCAAGCGAAAGTGATTCAAATGGTGCGGCGCACCTTCCTTGGGGTGCGCTGCGGTAGTATGTTACGGACTTTAGAGTCAGCAAAACAATTAAAATAGATTGTAATAGTCTAAGAAAAACACGTACTCAAAATACGATAACATTTAGCATGCTAGAAATGGGCTGATGGCTTTGAACTACGCCATATCTTTATGTTTTGCGACAAACGACAACTTTATAAAATCAGTGTAGCAACTTTTAAAAATCATCATATCGTTTACTTGGCAAATTCGAAGGACGAACTTGTCTTAGATTTCACCCATCTAAATCATATCATATTTGCACATAACAATATACCTACTTACTTCCCATTAAAGTATAAATTCTACAAATAAATAATACTCAACAATACTTAAAATAAAATGAGCCAAGAACGTTTATCGATAAAACCTGATAACATTGAAATCTTTTGTACAGCACTAAAGCCGCCATGTTTTGTGGCCAGATGACGTCACACTGGCACGAAATTTTGGTTGACGTTTCATTTCCATAGGTTTCCTACTTCATTGGAAAAACCCTACTTTACATCAGAGCTGTAAAACTATTTCAAATATTCATGACTCATATTATTTATATATAAATAGAAAGTTGAAAATTGGTATGAAATTTGACGAAAAATTTTATCTTAGGAAAACGAGACCCAGACTGTCCCAGACCATTCGTTCGAAACGGTAATTTATTTATACAAGAATATGGTAAAAAGTTAGCCCAAAATGTAAGTTACGGCGACATTTCCGGTTCCTCCCGTCAATATGTAAGTAAATTTCTTCTGTCATACAATTAACTTCTGTCATAAGTAGGTTTCATACTTTTTTTTTTTTTATTTAAGAGATTTTATGACCTGGTAACTAAGACCTTTAAGTCATGTCTTATTTTACTTTATATTCTTAATTTTATGAAAAATGATAATATGGAGTGAAATGAAATGAAAATGATTAATTTGAGACATTAATCAACTGAGATGAAATTTAATGAAATGAAATGATATGGGATGAAATATAATCGCAGTAAAATGGTGGTCATTTACTGAGATTTTTTCAGTGGACTTTTTGGAGGAACCCGAGAAGTTACGTCAAGCAGCTTTGTTTCATTTTCCCACATTTGTGCACTTTCACAGATATTAAACAGTTAATAAACCACCATTATTACACATTTAAACCTGAAGAAACACTAAATAGACAAAATAAAACAAATCACACAACTTCACTCCTCGCGTTCCCGCCAAAAAGTCAGGTTTCATACTTCAGTGGTCATAAGCATAGATTATACACTTAATATATTCGAGTCATAAGCTTAACTGTCTTATAGTATAAAAATGATGGAAGATTTTAGCTTTACAAATTAGTTTTGTATTAGGTACCAAAAATGTGCAGGGATTCGATTAGTTATAGAGAATCCCAAAGTGAAGAATGCGAAGCTGGTTCCCGAGGTCTGTGGAATTAGTGCGGACGCTCTATTTTGGCGTTTATTACATACCTACCATTTTAAGTCAAAAGTCAGTGTGGAACAAACACGACTTAAAATAATAGCTTTAAAGCCTGAGGACATGACTATTATCATAGAATAGTACATTGTGCACCAAAGGAGAAACTTTTTTAATTTTTAATAAACTACTACTAATTGAATAAGAACTGTCTGATGAACTCATCTTTGTTTAATACTTCACAATTAAATTTTAGTGCCTTTTGCTTATTTCACTTTTACACTATACAGCGGGAGGAAAAGTTACACTTTCTTCCCTGTACAGCGGGAGGAAAAGTTACACTTTCTTCCCTGTACAGCGGGAGGAAAAGTTACACTTTCTTCCCTGTACAGCGGGAGGAAAAGTTACACTTTCTTCCCTGTACAGCGGGAGGAAAAGTTACACTTTCTTCCCTGTACAGCGGGAGGAAGAGTTACACTTTCTTCCCTGTACAGCGGGAGGAAAAGTTACACTTTCTTCCCTGTACAGCGGGACGAAAACCGAACTTTCGGCGTAGGTAGGAGAAAAAAATTATTACTTAAAGCACGCATTAACCACGGACACCTAATAATGTACCAATGATGTAAACTAAAATAATTACTATACAGCAGTCTGTTGCTGTCTCCAGAATTCTTCCCGGTTTTCTAAGAACCTGATAGCCTCTTCTGCTTGCTTCAACACCTTATCGTTCTTTTTATCCGCTATAGCCAAGTCTGGATTCTTTATCAGATTCTCAAGGTATACTTTATCCGACATCAGTTGCCCTAGGACTGGCCTTGAAGACTTTGATGATGAGCGCTTACCGGATTTCTTCACTACTTTGACCGCTCCGATTGTGTTTTCAATGGCTTCCTGTAAAAAAATGCGTTAAATAATAATTTCGTGAGTGGGAATAACGAACAAGGATTAATATATATTTTTGTAATCTATTCTATCTATATATATAAAAATGAATTGCTGTTCGTTAGTCTCGCTAAAACTCGAGAACGGCTGGACCGATTTGGCTAATTTTGGTCTTAAATTATTTGTGGAAGTCCAGAGAAGGTTTAAAAGGTAGATAAATATGAAAATGCTCGGAATTAAATAAAAATAATTTTGTTTTTCCTTTGATGTGTCCCCCGTCGGACGGATTCCTTTTCTGTTTTAAGTTTATTTTATACAAAAGTTTAGGTCTTTTACTTATCGATTGAGGCACTACGAAGTCTGCCCGGTCAGCTAGTCTTTGATAAAACTTGTGTCTAGCTTCGTTGCAAGTACCAATGTGAAGTTGTAGTGATGACAGCGGCGGATAGACCGCCAGAAATCTGGAGCTTAGAGCGGCTGTAAGGATTCCATATTTTGGGACCCAACTGTTTTAGTCTTACGGAAATTAAAGCATTTATCATTTATCTATCTAAATGTTATTGGGTCTATGTATGTAATGCGTTTCACTTAGATAAACTTTATGAACTAGGGTATCAAATTGTAGACCGGTAAGAGCGCTATAATTTGAAGAGCCTATTGCCGGCAATTTTTTAAATCGATCACTGGTCCCTTATACGAAACCTCAGTGACACTTAATGCTTTGAGCTCATCTGCTCATCGCAGACAAGCATTCCGATATGAGTACGGCATTAATAAAATTGGCTAACAATGATTATAATGAATAAACTAGCGAAGGTAATTGATAAATTGCATTGATAATTGACAAACCCGAAATTCTAGAAACATGAAAATTAGATTATAGCGATTACACATGAATGTAAAGGGTATTTTTGCAACGGCCACCTTTCATATTGTTAATTATTTCCGGACTAAGACAACATAGGATTGCCCAGCTGATAATTTAGATATATTTATAAATCCAGTGTCTTTACCTCAATACATTTTGTAACTTATTTTAATTACTATTTTCCTGCATGTGGGTACATTGACTTATGGCTCATCTGGTGCTAAGTGGTTACTGAGGTCATACATATCAAAACCTAAATTCCGTAACGTGTAGAAATAGAGAGTATAATTATAGAACTCGTGCGAGCTCACATGCGTCCTATCACCATTAAAATCTATAACTCTCTTTAACTAAAATACACTGTACTCTGATTGTGAAATAAATTTCGTTACATGCTTACTTGAGCTTTCTGTACACCGAGCCTGAAGTCATTCAGATCTGGTCTAGCCCGCAGTCCTCTGTGATAATGCACAAGACTCATTTCGAATTCTCCGCAATAGTATAACGCTTCGGCTTTGCGGAGTAACGCCTTTGCATCTTTAGGATCAAGCTTTAGGGCTGCTTCTGCGTCGCTGAGAGCTGAACGTGGTTCTCCGAGTAGGAGGTAGCATTTGCTGCGGGCGACGTAGGCAGCCTTCTCTTCTGGAGCTAGTTCTATTGCCTGAAAAAATAATTAAATGTGTTACCTATTTTTTTAAATATTTTTTTATTTCTTAGATGTTTGGATGAGCTCACAACCTGGTGTTAAGTGGTTACTGGAGCCCAATAGACATTTACAACGTAAATGCGCTACCCACCTTGAGATATAAGTTCCCAAGTAAGATTAAGGTCCCAAGTATAGTTACAACGGCTGCCCCACCCTTCAAACCGAAACGTATTACTGTTTCACGGTAGAAAAAGGCTATGTGGCGGTACCCACCCGTGCGCACACAAGAGGTCCTAGCACCATTAGTAAAACATTGAGAGCTCCTGCTGCTTCTACATAACAGGGGATATAACTTTTCATCACACGTAAAGATGTTATACCTTATTTACAAATAAGACAGCGGTTCGGTAACGTTTCCGCATCATCTCAGCCTGTGCTAACGCTAACAGTGTGCCGGCGTCTGCTTCTGCGGGCAGCTGTAAGGCGCTGCTACGTTCGGCCTTGTCCTTTAAGCTCAGAGACTGTTTAATGTCTTTAGAACCCATGACTACAGCGGCGGCCCGATCTTTGTCAGTGTATAGTTCTTCTTCGCGTCTGCGTTTCTCGCGTTTCTGTTTTCGTTCACGTCTTTTATGCGGTTTTATAGAACTCTTCCGGTCCTTCGTCGAATGTTTCTCTTCCTCCGTTTCAAATTCACGAGTCTTGTCGGCGGACTGAGGAGCTCTCTTGCTGATAGAAGCTTTCGGTATTGGAACTTCATCTTCCTCATCACCGATGCCAACGCGGACGAAGCTTTGCAGGAATTCGGCATCTTTAGTTGGACCAAGAATAGATCTGGCCTGTGCTTTAGCGTTATCGTCGCTTTCCATCATACTTGGGTTTTGTTCGATATGTTATGTAAGGTGTGTGAAGAGGCGTCAGTATTGACGCCTTAGCTGTCGTCGTCATGGAGATACGATGTGTTTTCGCACGCTCTTAGCACTTAACTTCACACTAGTTGTGTTGGAATAGTGGAGCAATTTTAGAATCACAAACTTTTCCCTTCGACTTTGTATTTTGATGAACGGTCTAGACATTTTATTTCTAGAGCCATCGCAAATTATTTAGGTGTAGGGAATTGTTCGGTTTTTCAATATGTATACATTGTCATATGATATAATAGTATTGTATGTTAAAGGTTCTTACATTGTTGATTGGAAAAATCCGATAATCCTAAGGTTAATCCTTAGGAGAATCCGTGTTAATATAATAACTGGATTATATTTCTGATAACTATATGAAGTGTTGTCATTACTTTTTGATGATGCTGTGATGATATCCAATTACCAATTTAACTACCGCGATAGATCACAACAAACAAAATGAAAATTTACCTTAAACAATGAGGCCAGTGCTCGTTCATAGTTTCCATTCTTCAAATGTCCGGTTGCTTCATCACGATGTTTCTTGGCTTCTATGGGATTGCTTGTAGGCTGTTCTTGTTCTTTACCACGACCCATAGCAAACTAAAATGATCTATTTTGTAAACAATAAATAATAAATAAACATTTACTAACAATACGTTAACTGGTCCCGCGTTAAGTTCGTAAAGAACTTGTGCTGCAGGTACCAGATAACGGAAATAAATGTAAGATTTTTATTATACACATACATATATATAATATACATCCATAACCCTGGATAAGACATTTTATATTTATAATATTAATATCTTCCCTTGGCGGGATTCGAGCCCGCGACCCCCTTGTGTGGTGACCATGTCACTTACATAGGCGGCACTGAACATTTCGGGAATTAACGAAGTGACACAACATTACTATTTAAAAATGTATTTATTGCTTTTCGAAGTATTCTCCGCGAAATTTGACACATTTTTCCATACGATGGAACCAATCATTGAAGCAACCATTCCATTCGGAAGTTGGGGTCTCCAAAATGACCGTTTTGTAGGCGTCCACAGCTTCTTCAGGTGATGGAAATCTCTGTCCACGCAATTTATTCTTTATTTTAGGGAAAGTATAGAAATCATTAGGGCTTAGGTCGGGGCTGTACGGCGGATGGTCTAATAATTCTATGTTTTCTTGCTCTAAAAACTCTTTTGTTCTGTGCGCGGTGTGAGAACTCGCATTGTCGTGATGGAGGATAATGCGGCGGTTGCAGCTCTCTTTACGGAGTTCAGAAACGACCTGTGGCAAACAAATGCTAGCATACCATTCTGCATTAACCGTTCTTTGTCCCTCAAGAGGAATAGTCGTAACATGGCCGGTTTTGGAGACAAACGTGGCCACCATTTTTTTTGCAACACTCCGTGAACGAACAATTTTTGTTGGCTTTAACTCATTTTCGAACACCCAAACTCGTGACTGGTTTTTTGTTTCGGGTTCGTACGCGTATATCCAGGATTCGTCACCTGATACAATGTTGTATACAGCATTTGAGGATCCTGCGTGGAATCTTTCGAGAGTTCTGACGCACCAAGTAACGCGAGCCGCTTTTTGCTCTTCACAGAGCGAATGCGGTATCCATCGGGAAAACAACTTTTTTACACCTAATTGTTCATGCAAGATTATTTGTATTTGACTCATGCCAATGTCTAAAGTTGCCTGAATTTCGCGGTATGTCACATGTCGATCTTCCTCAATCAGCTTACGCACAGCATCAACGTTTTCTTGGGTGACTGCAGTTTTTGGACGACCTTGACGGGGATCATCACTGAGCTTGACACGTCCACGTTGAAACTCAGCAAACCAGCGATAAATTGTGGTTTTGGATGGGGCTTCATCACCAAATGCAGAAATCATCCGGTCAACACACTGTTTTTGTGTTAAACCACTTCGAAAGTCATAATAAATCATCGCTCTTGAATTTTCTCGAGTCAATTCCATTTTCTCAACGACTAAACAAGTTTGACAAAACCTCGTGACAAGACCGAGAATCTTTTTTTAAATAAATAAATGGTATTCGATTTTTAAAACCAAGGAGTTTTCAATTAAAAAGATTTTAATATGACAGGAACAGTGGAAATATTCCATTCCCGATACTTTTAGTGCAGCCCTCGTACCACTACACCAGACGGCCGTTAAATGACAATGAATGTTAAGTGAAGATAAAGTGATTAATAAATATATGTAAAAGAATTTGAAGTTCATTGTTCTTTTGTCTAGGTATCCCAATACTAATCGTAAGATAAAGGAAGATGTACCTATACTCTATTATGTATAATGTAATGTATTGATTATAATTATTTGATAAATTATTAGGAAGCATATTTTTTCATCCCACAGTTTTTAACTATCACTTTATTACTAATGTTTTCAAAATAAAACATTAGGTAAAACTGGGGTTATCTGACATAATAACATAAAAATCGAAATCCTGTAGTTTTATTTACTTTTGTTTTTCCTGCACGCAATGGATTCTACGGTGTAAACAGCCTGTTGTGTATTTACTAAATCTAAAGATTGTGATTTAATTGTTTTTGTTGTTTAGATGGGTGAATGAGTTCATCATAGTCGAATTAGAACGAGTCCATCTAGAATAAATTAGTTACCGGAACCCACAGATATCACAACGTGAATTCTTCCTTGAAGCATGATGAGGTCAAAGTCTGAATTGTATATGTATATTGGCTGTTCTATCATTCAAATCTATTCATTCTGGTTAAATATTCTGATTAAATAGCGTGAACAGAGTTTGAAATAGCTGAAATTAACCACTTAAGAATATTTGGAGCACCAAGTTAAGTATTCATGCAATGTATACATTCGCCATCTACTTAATATGCCAATTTTTATTCCAACTCAATATATATTATGTGTAGAAATCAATTTATTTTTCCAAGCCACGTTAAGTACTCGTATATACTAGACAAAAGTCAAGAATATTTTCATATTTAAATGTTAAGTTCTAAGTTTTATCTTACAACGCTATTTGAAAGAAAAACGTAACGCTTGATTTTACTAATCATCAAATTTGCGTATTAAAAGCTTTCAGCGTGTTAGGATAGGCGAAAATCATAAGCCATGCTTACATAGTGTTGTTAGGATGAAATTGATAATTACTGCAAGCCGTCACCGACTCGCATCACTCCTGTGCTATATATAAAATCTGTTTGTTAATCATACGTTATTAGAACTGTGTTACTGTGATTCACGTCACAATACATTGAAATGGATTTTTCAAAAGAATAATTAAAAAAACTCAGTCATAATTTCTAGACAGGAAACGTCTACTGATTGTATGTACAATGTGCTGTTGGTATATCAGCCCATGGACGTCCACTGCTGGACATAGGCCCCCCTAAGCCTCGCCACAAAGACCGGTCCTGCGCTGCCTGCATCTAGCGGATCCCCGCGAACCTCAATAGGTCGTCGGCCCACCTTGTGGGAGGCCTACCCACGCTACGTCTTCCAGTACGCGGTCGCCACTCAATATGTAGCTTGTAATTGGTAACGTAAGCTTAAAGAAAATAAGAAGGAAAAAAGCTCTTAAAATACCTACTCAACAATGAAAGCCTAGCCGGATTGATAAAACAAAATGAACGTAACAAAAACAACGTTTACCCAAATATAAATTATTTTCCCAATCATATATTTCCCTGATACGCCTTCAGCAAGCAGCGTGTTGTATGTATTATGCAAACGTTTACTTTAACCGAACCCCGAAAACAAACGTGCATGATCGATGGCCTCGGTAAACTCATGGTGCTCATAAAATACCAATGTACGCATTTCTATTTCCGTTTGTGATCAGATAAATTGAGGCCTATAAAATCAAAGGTAGCTAAACGCCTTAATGTCGTAAAATGGATTAACAATGGCGCTATATTGTTTAGTTAGTTGGACACGCTTTAGTGTTTTCATGTTATAACAAATGCAGCTAAATCTCTAACAAATTCAGTTCAAAAATTTTATTTTACTCTGTACTAAGTACGAATAAACGAAGTTTTATCATTTAAAATTCAGATTATTAGTAATATTCTCATTCTTTATAAATCTGCTTTAAAATAAAGAATATTGTAGCCATCCGAACAAAGTTATTTCAGCTTCTCAAACCGGGAGTGTTGCTAACACTGGCCCTAGCAAGAGCAGTACTTCGATGGATCGGGAGGATTTGTAATGACGTGCTTAGAGCCGATTTTTATAGTTTACCTGAATATTTGACAGATTGGATTTAGCTGCCTTTATAGCCCTCAATTGTTAGATATCCATTATGGGCAATAAGATTGATTTCTAGCGGTAACGTCCGACTTTGGGACATTTTTATCTCGTGATCACACCGAAAATCAAATAGTAGAAATATATATAAAGTGGACATAATATTTGACACTAATAAATACTTTATATTAAAAAGTGATCTATATGTAAATATAAAATGACAAATAATTTCCACTAAATAATATTAAATAGGCAGCTATAGTTTGGACAATGGACGGTCTTATCGCTAAAAACGCTACGATTTAGCGTTTTTAAATATCTTTCAGACAAGCGTTTTCAATAGAGTTTTCAGAAATCAACTTCGAGGCATGGACGCTTGAGATTGAAGTCTTAATTATATTGCCTAACGGTTGTCCCGCCACCATTCAAACCGGAAAATACGATTCCATCGTAATAGAAATGTGCAGGATGGTGGTGCTTATCCATGCGGGATTTCCATACGCTAGAGCAAATTTCACTGGTACCACCAGTAACTGCAAGCAAAAACTGAGTTTATTTCAAACTTTATCATGGAAAAACTAAAGCATACGGTGTTAAAAATGACCACCAGGAATTGTATAATTGCTATCCGTACTCACTCAGTCTTGAATTGCAGAAGTTGGCTGGATGGGAATACCAACCCGCTCTGACTACATTACAATCCTAGCACCACTAAATTATCTATAATTTTATTATTTGTCATTTTGCAAT